TCATGCTCGACTCAACAGCAATCAACAACAACAAACAAACAACATACTTGGACCAGGAGGCAGCTGTCAGAATAAATCAAGGAAACAGTGCATGGTTCAAAATCAGGAAGGGTGTACACCAAGGATGTGTCCTATCTCCATACCTTTTCAATCTATATGCAGAACAGATCATCTGGGAGGCTGGGCTCTATAAGGAGCAATGTGGTATGAGGATTAGAGGAAGACTCATCCGCAACCTGCATTATGTAGATGACACAACCTTGCTTGCCGAAACTGAGTAGTACCTGAAGTGTTTGTTGAAGAAGGTCGAGGATATTCAGTTTTCAATATGGATTTAAGCGCAACATCAAGAAAATAAAGATTGTTACCACTGGGCCAACTGGCAGCACCATAATAGATGCAGAAAAGATTGAGATTGTTAACAGTTTCAGCTTGTTCGGTTCCACAATTAACACTCTTGGCACCAGCAGTTAGGAAATCAAAAGAAAATTGCGTTAGGGAAACCTGCTCTCAGGGATTGCTTCAGAGTGCTGAAGAGCAACAATACCAGTCTAGAGACTAAGGTGCACCAGATCCAGGCCATGGTCTTTGCAATTACACGCTAAGTATCAGAGAGTTGGACAGTGACTAAGGGTGATGGAAGAAGAATCAAGGCCTTTGAGTTGTGGTGCTGGAGAAGAGTATTGAACAAGTCTGTCTTAGAGTAGGTGAAAGCAAGTTGTTCACTGAAAGCATGGATTTTGAAATTCTATCTCATACTTTGGGCATGTAACCAGGAGGCATCAGTCTTTGGAGAAGGAAATCATACTTGGGAGGGTGGAGGGACAATGCAGGAGTAGAAGACCCTGGAGGAGATGGATTGACACAGTAACTGAGGTAATGGGGTTAGGTGTGCCAGAGGCGGTGCGATTGACTCAGCACGGGGCAAGGTTCAGAGCTATTTATTGTGCATAGGGTCGCTATGAGTTGCAGGTGACTTGACGGCACATAACACCAAGTATGTCAAAGATGGCCAGCGTGGCACAAGTTAGGGCAGGGTTTAGATCCATTGTTCATAAAGTCACTGTGCGTTACAGTCGATTCCACAGCACTTAACATTATTATCTACAACCCAGTGCTACATACATCTCTGCCTAGCCCCCACCTCCAGAAGTTCTACGCGGCCCATGTGCAAGCCAGTGGGGGCAGGAGGCTGTTACTTGGAACACTGACCCTGGGCAGCTGTTGCCCTTTATAAAATGGAAACTCCCTCAGAGGCTGTGTGTAGCTTGAACCAGCAGACGTGGTATAAAGTGTGTGTTCAGTAAAGGCTCACAGGGAGGAAGAGTTGTCAGTTGTTGTTAGATGACCCACAGCGACCTTATGAACAGTAGTAGATCTGAACCTTGTCCTATTCTACACTATCCTCACACTTCCTGTCACACTAGAGCCCACTGCGGCAGTCACTGTGTCAATCCCTCTGGTTAAGGGTCTCCCTCTCCCTTACAGACTATCAGCTTTTCCTTCATGTCCCTCTCCAAGCAAGAGCATCCTGCCAGCCACATGCCTGAAGTATGTGAGGCGAAGCGTTATCATCTTTGCCTCCAAGGAACACTCTGGCTAAACTTTCTCTAAGACATATTTGTTTGTTCTTTTGGCCATGGGACGTTAAGCACTATTCTCCCACACCACAGCTCAAAGGCGTCAATTCTTTTTTTGTTATTCATTGTTCAGCTCTCAGATGCATAGCAAGCAATTGGAAAGACCATGGCCAGAATCAGGCTCACCTTAATTCTCAAACTGGCATGATTACTCCTCAAAAATTTGGAGAAGTTGGATCTCTGGTGGCCTAGTGGCAAGAAGCTGTGCTGCAATCCGGAAGGTATGTGGTTCAAATCCACCAGATGCTCCACTGGAGAAGGAGGAGCAATCTCCTCCTCTAACAGTCAGATTCGATTCGACAGCACACATACACACACACAAAATAAGAAAATAAATTTTTTAAAAGTTTAAAAAATTTTGAGAAGTCCCTGAATGCACACTTTCCCAGTGCAATATGTCTCCTGATTTCCTGATTGCTGATTCCAAGGGGGTGGATTGCGGATCCATGTAAAATGAAGTTGTTGGCAGTTTTAATCTACTCTCCATCTATCACGATGCTGCCTATCAGTCCAGTGATAAGAATTTTTCTTGATGTTGAGATGCAGTCCATATTGAAGGCGAAATTCTTTGATCTTCTGCAACAAATGCTGTAAGTCTTCTTCATTTTCAGCAAGCAAGGTTGTATCATCTGTATAACGCAGGTTATTGATGAGTCTTTCTCTGATCTTGATACCATGTTCTTCTTCATAGAGTCCAACCTCTTGAATAATTTGCTCTGTATATAGACTGAATAGACATGGAGAAACAACCCTGACACAATTCCCTTCTTAATTTTAAGCCAGGTAGTGGGTAAAGGGTCAGCAAAGGAGAGGAAGACCCTCAACCAGGTGGACTGACACTATGACTGCATTGGGTTCTACCATTTCAGGAAGCAAGAAGATGGCACAGGATAGGACAGGGTTCACATCTGCTGTTCATAGGGTCCCTATGAGTCATACTTGACTTGATGACATCTAACAACAACAGGTGTTCCTTGCTCTGTTTGCACAACAGCCTTGTGGTCTAGGTATAGGTTTCACATGAGTGTAAGTGCATGCTCTGGATTCCTATTCTTCTCAATGTCAGCCATAACTTATTATGACCCACACAGTCAAATGCCTTTGCAGAGTCTATAAAGCATAAACAGACATTCTTCTGGTATTCTTTATTTTGAGCTAGGATCCATCTGATATCTGATATCTCTGGTATCTCTTCTAAATCCTTCTTGAACTTCTGACAGTTTCCTGTTTATGGCTATAGCCATTTTTTTTTTTGGCTATAGCCATTTTTGAATGATCTTCAGCAGTAATCAAATAAGGCAGACCCAACCACCACACCCTACTTGGTTTAAAGAAGAGGCTCCCAGCCCACACTGACCATTAATCAAATTTAAAAAGAACTACCTTCCAGATCTCAACTGCTTTGAATGGGAGTAAGAGAAGTTGCTCAGTAAAATTGCTTTCATTTCATACGGCATAAGACAACCTGGCTAATAAACTTCACAATTGTACTTTATCCAGAAAAATAGTTGAACTGTGTCTGTCTCTCCAGATGACCTAGGAAGCAGCCACACTCACCTGATAGAAGTACGGATCTTCCAGACCCAGGCAGAGGCATGATCTGGAACCAACCAATCAGAGGATCCCAAGGCTATGGTTCCAGAGTGCCCTAATGAGAAGGTCACATGACACAAGCAAGGCCAATAGAACATGGGTGCTAGGAAAGATCTCACTTTTGTGGAGGCAAACTCACCTCTTGGGTTGGGGTAAGGTGAAGTGGTCATACTGGAGATCAATCTCCAAGGCATACTCGGTTGTCCAAGCACCTGGATACAGCCTGACCTGAAGCTACCCAACTTGACTTCTCAGCTACAAAAAAATAACCCTTTTGGCACAGTGGATAGATTTTTTAGTTTGCAACTGAGGAGATCCCAATTAATGTAAGTAGACTTGGGTTAGAGATACTCAAAATTTTATTGTGATGACAAACTCACATGACAAAGATCAAAAGCTACAATTAATCAAAAGCTATCAGGAATGGGGTATCAGCTGGAAAACATGGAGCTCAAAGCTTCTGAACTGCTTCCTGGAATCCCAGGTTTTCTTCGGGAACCTCCTCAAATGCCTTGGGTGCCTCCTGGAACCCCCTTAGGGTCCCAGGGAATCCAGTTTGAAAACTAGCATGCTAGGCCAAGACTCTCGCAATATAGGAGGGAGGTTTAGGAGCCCGGGACTGGCTCAGACAGTGGCCTCCACTTCAGCAGTCTCATCCTCCTCCTCCAGCAGGCTGTAGGAGGCATGGCTCTGGCAGGGCCGCTGTAGTGGGTGAGCCAGCAGCTTGGCCATGCAGTTGTGTAGCTCAAGGGCTGGTCCAGACAGTGCCACCTCATACTTGTAGCTTGTGCCTTTCGTGTCCAGGCTGCCCATGAAGGCAAACATGTCCTGGGGGGGCCAAGGAGGAGAGGGTCAGCTAGGGGTTCCCCTGGACTAGCCTTTTCTGTGCCTGGAGGGCTTCCCATATGAGGGAGCTTCTGGGGTGGGTTCTGAAGGGTGAAGAGGAGTTTTCCAGGCAGAAAATACTTGCAGGCACTTAGCAACCATTCCCTGTCACCTGTACAGTTCTGCACCTTCAGGCATAGGCAGTCAGAAGTTCACCCATACCTCCACCCCGCCCCAACCCTAATTCCCACTCTTCCTTCAGGAGGGAAGGCTTTTGACTTTGGTGTTGAGGGGTAGGTAGAAGCTGGTCTCCTTTTTTTAGCTGGCAACACTGAAGCGCAGAGAATAAGGAGCCCCTATCTACTTGGGTTGGGATGGAAAGGCCCAGCAGGGCTGGGGAGGCAAGCAGGAAAGGCTGGGGAGGAGGCAGGACTCCGATTTGCTCCTGGGCCAATGTCCCAGTGAGCCCGGCATACAGTCTCGCCTTATCTGGTCACCACAGCTCATAGCGTACACAGAAGCTGAGTGACTGGGTAACTATGGTATCACTGAACCAAGTCTCTAGGGCTGGCACATGGGGATGAGGACCCCAAGGAGGATTCCCCAGGCCTCAGGCAGTCACCCTCGCCCAGACCCACCATGGGCCCTCACCTTCCAGCTCATCTCTTCCTCCTTCTCCTCGGCGCCATTATGGATGTAAACAACATCAAAGAAGAAATATGGGCACTGGAACATTTTCTGGAGAGGGAAGAACACCAGGGACAGGGCCTCAAGTCACACCGTTCACAGGGCCACAATTCTGAATCAGCCCCGCAGACCCTGCAATCCATGCCACATGCCCCATCTGCTGCTGGTGGGAAGTGCCCCCTGGTGTCTAACCACCACCTTGTTGCCTGCAAGCGTCCTTCCCTCTCCTTGGCCTCACTCACCTTCATGGGCTCTGTCAGGGAGAACTGGGGCTGGCAAGGTGGACGGCTGTAGACCAGGATGGTGCGCACCACATACGGGGGCGGGATGGTTTGCACATTCTCTGTGACTGGCAATTCTGTCTTCTGCTGGCTAGAGAAAGGGCAAGGGCAGGTCAGAGCACACTGCAGTGGTCTGCCATGCTCATCACCCTCCCAGGGAACTCAGCTTATCAAGAGGTATCCAAGGCCCCTCCTGAGTTCATTGCTGCCCTGAACCTCTCTACCTCCTGTTCTCTTTGCTTAGAGCAACTCGCCAGCTTCACCTACACCCCTAGTTGAGCCTTCACAAATTCCTGAAGATGGAACTGGCTTCTCTCACATTAAGAGCCTTAAGCATTCTCCATAACACCTGGGCTGGAACTGCCTAGTGAAATGGGGTTCTCCAACCAGGCCAGGAGTCCCTAATGCAGGGAACAAACCTTCTGTGCTACGCCAGTGTTGCAGATGAACCCCACCCTGTCTCTAGAACAGAATAGTTGGGCCAGATGAGTGGTCCTTAATATGTAAAAAGCAAACCTTATAACAAAGCAAAAAAGCCAATATACCCACTGAAAAATAGGTAAAGGCCACAAACAGATAAAGTGCTGGAAGAATATTCAATGACTTAAAAATGAAAAAAAAAATTGACTTGACAAATATTGTGTCATATACATTTTTCCTGCAATTAAAGCAACAAAAATAGGCTCAAGGAAAAGCACAGAAAAACAATGTGCTACCTTTCTTTACCGATCATATGAACAGAAATTTTAGCAGCAGATCAGCCCCAGCATTGAGGAGACAGATAAACTCAGGCACTGCTATGTGACATTCAAGGGTAGGTTAATTTCTTAAGAAATTCTTTGGCAAAGTGGAGCAAAATCAGTCTTTGATCCAGTATCCAGAAATATTTTGATCCATTGTCCTCCTCCGGGAATTTATCCCATGGACTGACATGCAAGATTGGCTGAGATGTTTGTAACAGGTTAGTCATGATGAGAAAAACCAAACAAAGGAGTTGGTTGAAACAAAGTTTAGCAAACAAAAAGGCTTAAAAAAACTGTGGCTTTATTACTTAACTGGTCTAAACTCTTGTCTTGTTTAAGGTTGAGAAAAGTTTATTTCACTACAGGGGAAAAGTCTATAAAAGTCAAACGGAAATGTGTCAAAGTTTTACTGATGTACAGATTGACACTATTACGTACTGTCTACTGCTGCATTTGAAACATAGCAGATCAGTTTCAATTATTGTTATTGTTGATTGCCTTCGAGTTGAGCACAACTCATAGTGACCCTATGAACAAAAGGCCTGAAGCCTTTATATAACTACCGACATTTATCAAAGTTCATAGAGTTTCCGGAGGCATATTGTTTAGGAAGTGGATGCTACTCCTGCTTCCAGTCAGTTCCAATAGAGCCCTTAAAAGATCTGTGGAGACTGAATGATTTACTATCTGGCCTTGTATGGAGAACATGCACCAGGCCTTGGGTTAAATACACAAAATGAGGGAGTACAAGAACATAAGCTAGTGACCAAACTAACAGGAGACTTAGAGGGGGGGCTCCATTTTGCAGAAAAACACTTTTGAACAGAGAAGGATTGTTCCAGGAGGAGAGACAAGGCTCTGGGCTCGCTTGATTATGTCTATCCTGATTGAGGGGTTTGCTCACAGAAGACCTTCCCACCTGAAGGTGAAGAGACTTACATGAGGCTGAAGAGGCCTTCCAGATCTGGCAGGGCTGTTAAAGAGAAGGCAGGCAGAGAGTGTGTGCGGGCAGGGCAGACAGAGCCATGACCCTGGGGCTGGGAGAGGCCAGCAGCAGACATGCTGAGTGACTGGCCTGTTTCCCCACAGCATGGATCTGGAGATAGGGGACCAGAACTGGAGGCTCTGAAGACTTGAGGATTCAAAAGTTCTCCTCTGCCTACAGGGCGGGGCAAGAGCAGAGCGCTCTGCCCTCTCTCACCCTCTCAGCTGCTCTGGGCTCCACTTTTGATTTTACCTGCAGGGACTGGCAATTATATTCTATTTAATTTTGGGTCATATAAAAGACTTCAATACGCAATTCAAGTCTCTGGGTACTGCAAAAACGGTTCAATGCATCAGCTGGTAACCAAAGGTCCACCCATCAGTCCCTCAAAAGCAAGTCCTGGTGATCTGCTTCTTAGTCAATGTAAAGTCAATGGGGCACAGTTCTACTCTGCTACATATAAAGGTGCTACGAGTCAAGATTTACCTGCATGGCAGCGGATTTTTACTAAGGATCAACTTGGCATAAAACATGCTGTGCCCAGGCTGAAGAGCCCGAGTGGTAACTTTTCTGTCACATAGTGCCATTTATACTGTTCCCTGTGCATGTACACTTCAGACAGCTCAAGGTTTTGCTGTTTGTACTGTGACCCTCTCTTCCCAGGAACTCTTAGGAGTTAGATGGCTTGGCGCCTCATTTAATCATTGTTAGTAGCTGCTGTCTGAATGGCCTCGACTCATGGTAACCCCATGAGTTACACAGTAGAACTGTGTTCTGTTGGGTTTTCTTGGCTATAATTTTTTTAAAATTTATTATTTTTTTGGTGTACCATCAAATCAGATCTGACTGGTACAGGAGGAGATTGCCCCTCCTTCTCCAGCAGAGCATCTGATGGATTCGAACCACATACCTCTGGGATTGCAGTGCAACTTCTTGGCACTAGGCAACCAGAGCTCCCTTTGACTATAATTTTTTTTTAATTTTTATTTTTATTATTTATGTGTGTGTGTGTACCGTCAAATCGGATCTGACTGGTACAGAAGGAGATTGTTCTCCTTCTCCAGCAGAGCATCTGGTGGATTTGAACTGCTCACCTCTGGGATTGCAGTGCAGCTTCTTGCCATTAGGCTACCAGAGCTCCCTTTGGCTATAATTTTTATAGAATTCAATTGCCAGCTCACAGCTGAGTGGATTAAGAAAAATATCATCTTTGCATTAGTTGTTGTTAGGTGCCATTGAATCCTGTCCTGTCCTGTGCCATCCTCAAAATCTCTGACACTCTTGAACCCATTGCTGTAGTCACTGTGTCAATTTGATTGAGGGTCTTCTTCTCTTTCGTTGACCCTCCATATTTCCAAGCATGATGTCCCTCTCTAAGGAAAAGCCTCTCTTAGAAACATGCTCAAAGTATGTGGGATGAAGCTTTATCACCTTTGCTCCCAAGGAGTATTCTGGCTGCACCTTCTCCAAGACATATTTATTTGCTCTTTTGGCAGTCCATGCGATGTTCAGCATTCTTCTCCAACACCACAGCTCAAAGGCATCAATTTTTCTTCTGTCATCCTTATTCACTGTCCAGCTCTCAGATGCATAGCAAGTGATAGGAAAGACCATGGGCTGAATCAGGAGTGCCTCAATCCTCTGACATCATTGTCCTTCAATAATTTGGAGAGGTCCCTGAGTGCAAACTTTCCAAGTGCAATACATCCCCGATTTCCTGACTGCTGGTACCAATGGTTGGATTGTGGATCTAAGTAAGATGAGGTTGTTGATAGTTTTGATGATTTCTCCATCTATCATTATGTTGCCAATCAGTCCAGTAGTGAGAATTTTGTTTTAATGTTGAGATGCAATTCGTCTTGAAGGGTGCATTCTTTGATTTTCTGGTAATTGATGAATCTTTTTTTCCAATTCTCATGCCACATTCTTCTTCATAAAGTACAGTTTTTTTGAATAATGTGCTCTGCATGCAGACTGAATAGGTATGGAGAGAGGATGTAAGGCTGATGCACACATTTCCCAATTTTAAACTGTTTAGTGTTTCCTTATTCTGTTTGCACAACAGCCTCTTGGCCGAGGTCTAGCACAATTAAGTGCTCTGGATTCCCATCTTCTCAATGTCAGCCATAATTTGTTAAGATCCACAGTAAATAGACAGTCTTCTGTTACTCTTTGCTTTCAGCCAGGATCCATCTAACATCAGCAATGACATCCCGGGTACCATAGCCTCTTGAACTTCTAGCAGTTCTCTGTCTATGTATTGCTCTAACCATCTTTAAATTATTTCAGCAATATTTTGTTTACATATGATATTAATGGTTATTTATTGTTCTTTAATTTCCACATTCTGCTGGATCACCTTTCTTGGGAATGGGAACAATAAGGATCTCTTCCAGTCAGTTGGCCATGTAGCTGTATTCCAAATTTCTAGACATAGGCTGGTGAATGTGTTCAGGGCTGCATCCATTAGTTGAAACATGTCAGTTGATATCCCATCAGTTCCTGGGGTTTTATTTTTTTGCCAATGCTTTCAGTATACCTTTAACTTTTTCCTTCATTACTATTGCCTCTTGATCATATGATGCTTCCTGAAATACTTCAGTGTTTGGCAACTCTTTTCAAAGAGTTCAAAAACTCTTTGGATAGTAGACAAGTACAAACCATCTGTGTTACCCAGAGACCTCTGTGCTCAATTAAAGTCCACTGCTGTGAAGTCTGCCCTGGCTCTCAGTGGCCCTACATGCAACAGAGTAGAACAGCTCCATAGCTTTTTCTTGGCTGTAGTGTTTATAAAAGGAAGCTCTATGGCCTAGTAAGGGACTATGCTGCAGTCCCAAAAGCAAGTCGTTCAAATCCACCAGCTTCTCTGTGGGAGAAGGATGGGCAATCTCCTTCCAAGCGATATACTACCTCTGAAAACCCACTGAAGGGTCAGCTATATTTCAGTTCCAACTTGACTGCACACAGTAACAACAATCTTTATGGAAGCATCTCACCAGGCCTTTCTTTGGTAATGTCACTGGGTGGATTCCCACTGCTAAACTCTGAGCCAGCAATCAAGTGAAAACCACTTGTCCACGTAGTCTCCGAGCCTCCTATTTTAAAGATGGGGAAACTGAAGTTCAGAGATAGAATATGAACCAGAATAAGCCCCAACGAGAAAGTGCTCTTCCTGGCTCAGGTAAAAGAAAGTGTTCTGTGAAGCTGACAAACACACACACACACACACACACACACACACGCGCGCGTGTGCACGCATGTGCGCGCCCATGCCAAGATGCTCCCTCCCATCCACAAGGAAGGATACTGAACGTGGAGCAGGATGCTGTCTCCAAGTCGTAGAGGCAGCTACATAGTTCACGGGGATCGGAGGTCAGTCCTGACAGCTGCAGGAAGCAAAGGGCTAGGTGGAAGGGTCCTATCCTCCACCTCCACCCCACCCCCACAAGGCCACAAACGTCCAGCGCCCCCTTACCCAGGCCGTATCATCATTCACAACCACCAAGGCAAACTCGTGGCTCTTGCAGATCTTGTGTTTGGTCCGAACAAACATCTCGATCATCTTCTGGGAGACGTTGAGGGCATTAGTTTTAGAGCTGTGACAGGGAGGCAGGAAGTGAGGGCACTGAGGAAGAGCCTCCTGGATGGGGGGCACCTATTGCTCACTCAGCTAGGGAACCCTCCACCACCTGCAAGGTGATGGCCAGAGATACACACACCCAACACCAGTCTGGCGCCTGCTCTTCTTGAGCATATACCTCAAACTCTGCTAAGCTGGACCCTCTGGACCAACCAGAAGTGCCTTGAACTGTGAAACAATACATTTTTGTTCTTTACAACTGCTCACTTGTGTTATTTCTATTACAGTGGCTCTAGGACACTGAGATTGGACTGAGATGGGGGTTGATCATTTAAATTCTCTAGAAGATATTTCTTCTGACTGGGCTTAAGAACCTAGGATGATCAATTGCCTATGTCAGTTCAAGACCTGCCCATCATCAAGGCTCAGCGAACCAGAGCCCATGGGGGTGGGTTCTAACAGGAATGCGACCAGCCACAGTGTTGGTTAGCCTAGAGGCAAGCCTCTAGCTGGTCCAGTTAGAGCTGTACTGGAAGTCACAGAGAGAGAGAGACAGACAGAGACAGACAGACAGAGCCCTCGCTAGTCCTGATTGTGTGTTCAAGCCCCAAGACGCCCATCTCACCCATTGAATGACTCCAGCTTTGGCAAAGACATTTCCTCTGACAGGTCAAGGCAGATGATCTGCAAGGGACATTGGCAGTGATGAAGGGACCTGGGTTCAGCAGTGACGAGATGTGAATACCAGCCCCTACCCAGCCCCACTGGGCAAGCCTTCCCTCCCCAAGCAGACCCTGAGACATGGCAATGCCTTTGCTAGTTGTCATTAAGTAGACTCCAAATTGTGATCACTTTATAAATAACAGAATGACATCCACCTTCAGAATCCATGGTGTGCTTCAGCCCAGAGGCATGACTCTTGTGTTAACCCATCCCATGGGATATTCTTGTTTTCTGACTTTACAAATCCCACCAGTCTTTTCTAGTAATTAGACTTTCCTGCTGACACAGACAAAAGTAACTGAGCCAAAGTCTATCATCCTTGCCACTCAGGAGCATTCTAGTTGCATTTATTTCTTCTAAGACTGGAATGTTCTAGCAGTCCATGGAATAATCCATATTCTTTGCTAACACCATAGTCCCAATGCAGCAATTCTTCTGCCAGCGTTTTTCACTCTCCAGCCTTCACACACATGCAAAATGACTGAAAAGACAGTGACTTGAGTCTGGCACACCTTAGTCATCAAAGTGACATCTTCGCTAAAAGATAACAAGGCACCACAGGGACCCTTGATTGCCAACCAAGCTGCTTATTCTAGAAGTCAGTGGCTCAGAGGAAAGCACACTGCACTAGGAGTCCAGGCTGATGAATCAACCAATGCATTTATCACAAGGTAAACAAGGGGAAATTAGCATAGTGAATTTTGAAAAGCATGAATATTTAACACAAGACACGCCAGCCTCTTACATCTAAAGGCCAAAGTGCTTACTTACCACCTTCTCTGGACAGTTGACTCGTGGGGTCCGCACCTGGACCTCAGGGGCTGGTGGAGGGACCTGCCAGGGCTTGGGGCCAGCACTTGGTGGGTTGGGGGCTCCATCATCAGCACTGGCTGCCTCGCCCTCACCCTCACTTCGGCTGCCCACACTGGCCTGGGCCCCTAGTGCCCGGTCCTCAGCTCCTTCAGGGTTAGAGCGAGTACGGGGTCGAGGCTCAGCCACCGGCTCTTCTTCCTCCTCCTCCTCCTCTTCCTCCTCAGTGGGGCTGCTGGGCTCCGCAACCTCCATGGTTTCCGTGAGGTCAGATACAGCAGGGATTGGGGAAGCCAGGATTCTTACCTTCAAGGTTTAAAGAATACTTGGTTAATAATAGAAGGGACGTTTTTCTCCCATAGATCCAAGCAGATGATTTGGAAGAGAGGACAGGAAATGAGCAGCTTACATACTGAATTAACCATCTCAGAGCCTCAGTCTCTCCAACTGTAAAACGGGCAGTCTTTACAGCTATCTGCCCAGCATTCATTGACATAGATTAAGAACTTCTCATTTTTTTCAGTAGGGCTCACTGTCCCTGACCACTACCACTCCAAGTTGGCTAGAATGTGATCACTGGCCACTGTGATTGACTCAGTGATGGGCACAGGGACAGCCCTGGGACTTCCAATTAGACATGAGGGTGCTCCCTAATGGTGGGTGTGCAGCGATGGCACGCCCAACACGGAAACAAATACTGCACACTACTGAGTCTTGGGATCCACTTATGCCTGAAGTTATAATTTCGTGCTCAATCCAGATAGAACTGGGTTTTCTGTTACCTGAAATGGAAAATGTCTTAGCGAATAAGGGAATATTAACCCTATTAACAGGGGGCTCTGGTGGTCTAGTGGTTAAGGCGTTGAGCTGCCAACCCCAAAGGCAGGTCGTTTGAATCCACGAGCTGCTCTGCGGGAGAAAGACGGGCGATCTCTTCCCTTGCGGCTGAAAATCCCCTGCAGGGTCACTTATGAGTCAGTTTCAACTCTACAGCAATGAGATGACTTTGACCCTATGATGTTCCCTGATGATGCTGAGATGCCTGGAGGTGAGGAGGCAGAGACCTGAGTTACAGACTCCTTCGCGGGGAGACCGGTCGCCAGTGGGACAGTTTGCCTGTCTGGGCAGTGGCTGCGAGCTGTCCAGTATGGCCTCCGAGCGCCCTGCAGCTCCCACAATTTCAAATGATCACAAAGCTTTCACCGTAATAAGAAAGCTAAAGGCTAGACTGAAGAAGAAACCAGAACGGAGGCGACAGCCCCAGCGCAGGAGAGAAGATGGATATCTGGGCTCGGAGCTGGGCAGTCGAGCCCCTGAGATGGACCTTATCTACTTTCACCACCCAAAACCGGCTCACCGAAGCCTGAGCCTGTCAGTCCAACTCAGCCGACGAGAGTCTCGGAAGCCGCCATCTTCCCGACAGGAAGTGACGTCACACGACCGCAAGGTCCCCTGGGAAAGATAGTCCTCGGCTCCTCGGAGCGAGCCGAGCGGGGCTGAATGATGCTGGAGAGGACTTGGCAGCTGATAGGTTAAGACTGAAGCCGAGAGACCGGGATCTGAAATATGATTGGCTGAAGCAAGATTAGTTGTGCTTTTATAATAAATGAACCAGATTCAATTGCTCAGTTCGTCCATGCTTTGTTGTTGGTGTTATTATTGCTGTTGCTGTTATGTACCCTGTCGAGTCGCCCTGTCCTGAGTCAGTCTCACTAATTCCGACACATCAACTCTTATTGTCCCAGTTACTGTATCAATCCATCTCATCCTGGTTTTGCTCTCCTGCGCTGTCCCTCCACTCTTCTAAGCATGATGTCCTCCAAGGACTGGCACTCCTGGACATGTGCCTAAAATATGTGAGAAGGAGCTGCAAAATCCTAGCCTCCAAGGAGAAACTTGGTTTCACCCTCTCCAAGACAGACTAATTTGTTTTCTTGTCCAGTCCATGGTATGTTCAAGAATCCTCCAGCACTATAATTGGAAGGCAATGGTTCTTCTTAGATAAATCCTTAGTCACTGTCCAGCTCTCTGATGCATTACAAGTAATTGCGAATACCACGGCCAGGATTAGGCACATCTTAGTTTCTAGACTGACATCATTGCTTTTCAATACTCTGGAGAGGTTCTAGACAGCAGATTTTCCCAATGAAATTCGTCTTTTAATTTCCTGACTGCTAGTGCCAAGAGTGTTGACTATGGAGCCAAGCAGGCTGTAAATGTTAACAATCTCAATCAATTGGCCCAGTGTTGAGAATCTTTGTTCTTTATGTTGAACTTCAATTCACACTGAAGACTACAGTCATTGAACTAAAGCAAGGGCTTCAGGTCCTCCTCAGTTTTTACATAACTTTGGTTGTTGATGGAGACAGCGTACATTCCTGACACACTCCTTTCCTGATTTTGAACCATGCAGTGTTTCCCTGCTCTGTTCTGAGGACTGCTTCCTGATCCAAGTATGTTGTTGTTATGTGCCGTCGAGTTGCTTGCGACTCATAGCGACCCTATGTACAACAGCCCTAAACTCTGCTCTGTCCTGTGTCAATCGCACTGTCTCCGACACTCGCATCCTGATTACCCCAGTCACTGAATCAGTCCACCTCATAGAGGGCCTTCCCCTCCTGTGCTGTCCCTCCACCCTCTCAAGCATGATGTCCTTCTCCAAGGACCGGTCTCTCCTTACAACATGTCGACAGTATGTTAGACGGAGCCTCAGAATCCTTGCCTCCAAGGAGCCACCCAGTTTAACCCTTTCCAGGATGAATCTGTTTGTTTTCTTAGCAGTCCATGGTACTCTCAATACTCTTCTCTACCACCACAGCTCAAAGGCATCAATTCTCCTTCTAGCCTCCTTGGTCATTGTCCAACTCTCTGATGCATAACAAGTGATCACAAAGACCATGGCCTGTATCAGATGCACCTTAGTCTCCAGAGAGACACCATTGCTCTTCAGTACTTTGGAGAGGTCCCTAACAGCAGACTTTCCCATGGCAATGCGCCTTTTAATTTCCTGGCTACTGGCGCCAAGAGTGTTGACTGTGGAGCCAAGCAAACGAAAGCTGTGAACAATCTCAATCTCTTCACCATCCATCCTGATGCTGCCAATTGGCCCAGTGGTGAGAATCTTTGTCTTCTTGACATTGAGCCTCAATCCATACTGAAGGCTGCAGTCCTTGACCCTCTGCAGCAACCACTTCATGTCCTCCTCAGTTTCAGCATGCAGGGTTGTGTCATCTGCATAACGCAGATTGTTGATAGATCTTCCACCAATCTTGACCCCACATTTCTCTATACTGAAGATTATCCAAAAACGACTGGAACAGCACATCAGCAGAGAACTGCCAGAAGTCCAGGCTGGGTTTAGAAGGGGTTGTGGTACTAGGGATACTGTAGCTGATGTTAGATGGATCTTAGCTGAAAGCAGGGAATACCAGAGGAATGTATATCTGTGTTTCATTGATTATGCAAAGGCATTTGACTGTGTGGGTCATAACAAACTGTAGCTGACTCTGAGAAGAATGGGAATCCCAGAACACTTGATCATTCTAATGGGAAACCTATACTTGGACCGGGAGGCAGTCGTCAGAACAGAGCAAGGGAACACTTGCATGGTTCAAAATTGGGAAGGGCATATGCCAGAGATGTGTCCTGTCTCCATACCTTTTCAACCTGTATGCAGAACAGATTATCCGGGAGGCTGGGCTCTATGAGGAGATCCAAGTATGGGTTTCACATAAGCACAATCAAGTGTTCTGGGATTCCCATTTACCTCAAGATTGATGTTATTAGATGTCGTGAAGTCACGTTAGGTCAATTCTATCTTGAAGATGGGTATGTCACGTGTGTGGGGCTTTCAATTTAACAGGAAGGTAGTGGTTGTTGTTGGTGTTGTGTATCGTAGAGTCTGAACTGACTCATAGCTAACCCTCCCGTGGGTTTTCAGAAGCAGTATATTGCACGGAAGATTGACCATCCTTCTCCCGCAGAAGAGCTGGTGGCCTTGAACTGCTTGCTTTTGGTATTGCAGCGCAGATTCTTGCCACTAGGCCACCAAAGTCTAACTTGCAATGTGTTGGGCTGAGTGGGCAGGATCTAGGTGAGAAGGCGGGGCTTAAGGCTGATTACTGGAGCTATCGTGAGCTTCCGAAGAGGGGATTTTCCGCAGGAGGTGGGCAGGGCAAACCATGGCCAATCATTTAACAGTACTCTTTAGGTATATTTATTTTCGTATATTTGCATAAAGCTACTAAAGCAGAGCTATTTAAAATCATTTAAGCAGATATTTTTTCGTCTGTGCTGCAAACTTCGGATCCGAGGTGAAGCTCAAGCTCATCAAAAAGAGGATCGAGAAAATTCATGCTGCACATCGCTTAGACTGTTACGTCAAAAATTACCATAACTGATGCAAGTCCAGAGGCACTGGCACGAGGTGTGGAGAGAACTTAAAGACCTCCCACTGGCTATGAGTTGTTATTGTATGGAACCAACCCATAGCTGACCTTCCAGCGAATTTTCCAAGAAAGCTAATCACATGGGAGCGAGAGGTTGACCATTTTTTTCCTCACGGAGCAGCTGGTTTATTCAAACCACTTGCTTTTGGGAGGAGAGCACAGTTCCTTAATATTAGGCCACTAGAGCTCCTGCTTATGGGAGAACAAAAATGGTTTCCAAGAAATCTTAGCTCACAGGGTCAAAGAGCTGCCCATGCTCTCCACGGTGCGACATCTTATTTCTGTGCTCATAATGCTCCCAGTATTTCCTCTAAGAACTGCAAAGCCGTCGTGGACCGAGGAGTCGCTAATCTCAATGCCAGGTTGCACCAGTTGTCCCACTGCAGAAAGATAGGACCATCAACTTAAAAAGAATTACAGCCTTGGAAAACTTTATGAGGCAGATTTGTTGTCCTTGCTGTTAGGCACTGTTCAGTTGAATTCAACTCACAGACTCATGCACAACAGAACAAAACTATGCTCAATCTTGCATTGTCCTCACAATCTCTTGTCTGTTATACTCTGAACCCATTGTTCCAGTCGCTGTGTCAGTCCGATTTGTTGAAGATGTTTCTTTCATTGGCTTTCTGTTTTTCCAAGCATAATATCATTTTCCAGGTCTAGTTGGTCCCTCCTGACAGCATGCCTAAGGTGTAAGAGACAGAGTCTCACCATCCTTGCTTAAAGGAGCACTCTGACTGTATATCTTCCAATACAAATTTGTTCATTCTTTTAGCAGTCCATTATATATTCAATACTTTTCATTAATAACACA